GTTGTGCGCCCCTCGTCCTTCCCCCCCCCCCCCCCCCTTTGAAAAGGAAACATTCAACCACTACAGACTGGAATGCGAAAAGTGGAGTTTTTCTCTATAAAATTTTCATAGACATAAAGTGCTATAGGTTATTATTGGTAATACTATGTGTATTACCTAAAGGCATAGCCATTTCAAAATAGTTTGTGATGTTCTTCTTAAAAAATGAGATCTGGATGTGCAGCATTCTAGTAGCGTAGAATATTTCCACATTAATTTTATTGCCATTTTAAGTTTAAAAAGATGAAGTCTTTTTAGATGTAGGGGAAACCACTGAATTGGGGCAAAAACTCATTTCTCCCAAAGCTCTTCACCCCACCTTTAGCCGCAGCTGTTAGAATTTTCAAAACCTGTAGTAAATTGGTTTTATTCAGTCTACTATGAATTGTAAGGATTTAACAGTCTTTATGCTTATGTTAATTTTTTTTTAAAATTTTATTTGAATACTTTGATTAAGCTGAATTCTGTAGAAGAAAAAATAAACTTTCTTTAGTAGTTATAATTGAGAGGAAAAAAAGCATGGCATCAGAAAGCGTATGAAGATAGGGAAGTCTTATCATGGGCTGTGGTTACTCAGAGCAGTATTGCCTTCCCACACAAAGAACAGATTGTGGTTTAACTCTTTCCATGGCCTAGTTTTATGTGCCAGTATAGTATCAGAATTGTTCAAATCTCTGCTGGAAACTACTAATCAGTCTAATTATTGCCTTTGTGGCTTTGTCAAGCATCATACTGTAATGCAGTCATTTACGTCCTGAAATATCTTCTTATATTGTCTCTCTCTTCTTTTTTTTTTTCTTTTTTTTTTTTTTTTTTTTTTTTCCCGTGAAGGTAACATGGTCATAGGTAAACTGCTTGCAACTTTTCTGTTGTTCTCTGTTTGATTTGAGGGTGGTTAAGGAAGAGAGGTAACTGGATCTCGTGTTTTTTTTTCACCATTCAGGTAATTTTGAATTTTGTTTGAAATTTGAAGATTTAAATACCAAATTCTTGGCCTGAAGCTTCTACAATGGCAGTCTGAAATCTGTGTAATTGAGACCATTAGTTATACTTTCATCATTTTTACCTAATGGAGTTAATCAGTCTATTGATTAAACATAATTTATTCCTTGTCTAGCAGCGTAGCTAAAATATTAGTTTGTTAATTGTATTCTTGAATATAATTGTATAAAAAAGGCTCAGGTTTAGTTTGATTGCACTGTGCCACTCAGTATGATAAGCAAACTGCGTGGTATTTAAAACTAAATATGCCTGCACACAGGAAGAAAGCTACCTCCCCTAAGGTCTCCCTTCCAACCCAAAATACAGATTTGATAAGCAGATTGTGCTGTTTTAAACAGTGGATTTGCTCACGGAAAAGAGGCATTAGTTTTTGGGAAAGGCCTATTTAGATATTAACATGTATGTGTAGGATGGTACTTTAAGCAGACAAAACGAATTAATTTAATTGCTATAGGATGTACTTGTAGACGACAACTAAGTATTACCTCCTTAATGCAATCTGTATCGCTGCTAGGCAGAAGATAAGAACTTGCAGGTGAAGCCAGATGACAGAAAGGGATATTTTGGAACTGTAAATAAATTGTATGGATTTCACAAAAGCAGCATTTGACCAGCGGTGCACTCGTAATGTCACTCTGCCACAGCATGCAGAAACACAAAGAATGCAAAGTTTGTGCCAAGTTGCCATTTTTCATTGTACACCTCAGATTGATTTTTAAGGGGTTTAGAATAATTGCCACACTCATGTGATCAGTTAACAAATTAACTGACTCTGTGGGGCTTCAAAACCCACGGTGGAGCTGCCGGAAGAACATAAATGTAATTTTTGTTCTCAACTTCATAAACTTTTATTTTACAGAGTTTGGGGGTGGTGGGAGGGAAGCCTGAAGAGCTGAGAGTACAGAAGCTGCTGTTCGGGATTTGTATACGACACGCTGTGTCTTTTGCCCGCCTTCCCTTACTGTATACTGGTTTCTCTAGTTACCACCACTGGAATGGTGCTGTTTCAGTGCTGGAATGTTGGACGTTTGATAAGAAAATGGATCAAGTTTAATGGCGCATGCTCTTTGTGCCACCAGCAGTCTCTTGCTGAGAGCATGCTCCAAAAGCGGGAACTGTGTGGCATTACACTGAGCGTGTATATGCTTTGTGTTTCTGTGCCACAGAGAAGAGAAATGAACTGTGGCATTCGCCTCAGCCTTCTCAACATTTCTGCTCAGATTTTTTAAAACCGTATAGTGTCCTCTTTGTGCAATGGTACTTTTTCTTGATGTTAGCCATTTACTCAGATATTTAAATGTTAGAAACAAAACATCTTGATAGCATCTCTTTTAAATGATGTTGTCTCTGCAGTGTTGCAGGATGAAGTGCGGGGAGGCATACAAAATAAAATCTTCACATGGTTCTTTCCAAGAGTGAAATACGGGGAAAATGCAATTCTCTGTGTACTTTTTGTCTGCTGCCTGACAGTGGTAGTAATTGCATAAAAGGTGTTATGCAGAAATTTGTGTAAATTTTAAGTGCTTATTCTCTTCGTCTTGGATTTCACTTTAAGATTTTCAGAAACCTTTCTTGATACTGCTTTGACTATGAGAACTTACTGACTTTGAGTTTTCTTCTTCTCTTCTTTTTTTTTCACTCCACTTCTTTCCACAGGATGAATTTCACCCGTTCATTGAGGCACTTCTTCCACATGTCCGTGCAATTGCCTATACTTGGTTCAACCTTCAGGCTCGAAAACGCAAGTACTTTAAAAAACATGAGAAACGAATGTCAAAGGACGAGGAAAGAGCAGTCAAGGATGAGCTACTTAGCGAAAAGCCTGAAATTAAACAGAAGTGGGCATCCAGGCTCCTGGCCAAGCTGCGCAAAGATATTCGCCAAGAGTTCCGGGAGGATTTTGTGCTCACGGTGACTGGAAAGAAGCACCCGTGCTGTGTATTGTCCAATCCTGACCAGAAGGGTAAGATTAGGAGGATCGACTGCCTGCGACAGGCTGACAAAGTCTGGCGTCTGGATCTAGTCATGGTGATCCTGTTCAAAGGCATCCCCTTGGAAAGTACGGATGGAGAGCGGCTCATGAAATCCCCACATTGCACAAATCCAGCACTTTGCGTCCAGCCACATCACATAACAGTATCAGTCAAGGAGCTTGATTTGTTTTTGGCATACTACGTGCAGGAGCAAGGTAGGAAGCAGATTGTTGTGTTTCTATGTTAGTATGTCAAACTCTGAATCCAAGTAGCCCTGTTTCCCCTATGGGCTGGCTTCCAGTGAAACATTATTCTGTGGTCTATAGACGTAATGTGGCTACATATCCATATGTAAATCATCATGTATACGTATATACTTACATACACACATATTCCTACAGACCTCTGTAAATGACATGTACGTTTGACATACGTGCCTTGTTCTCTTTCAAGAGGGAGCAGGACAAACCAAGGTAGTGCTTCAGTTCTGCTGAAGTTGCCTTTTTCTTTTTTTTGTCAAAAAGTAGCAATATATTGTGTAGTTTTTCCAGTCGTAACTTCAGAAAACATTCTTCTTGTTTTTCAAGTTGGTTTTTTTTTTCCTTTTTTAGTTCCCCCAGTACTGTTAGTAAGAGATGCAGGGATTTGCAATTGCACGATCACAATAAATTCTACAAATATTTATTATTGTCTTTGTAATTACAACTTATCACTTGATCCTTAAATGGATGAACTTGCTATCACATTGAAGAGCAATTGTAGACTTTCTCACGTCTTTAAAATAAAACATGAAAAAACTTTAGCACAGCGATACTGTTTTGTAAATACTGTAAGTAATCAAAATTACAGCATACAGCACTTAATGTTTTATTTGTATTTTACATCACTAGCTCATCTTACCTATCTGAACTTTAAAACAAAGATCCAGGTTGTAATATTTTGAGAGAATTTTCCATGAAAAATATATTTTTATTATCACACTTGTATACTTAATTTTATTTGGCAGATAATTGAAAAGTAGAAAATTGCAGAACACTATGGAAAAGCTTCTTAAAGTTAGTATCACAGAATGAAAATAAAAACAGGGCTTCTGACAATCGTGTATCAGGGAAAAAACTGCTGGTCATATGGCATATTCAGGTAACAATCCTCATAGCCAGGTTCCCTGAAATTGTAGATGGCTCTAAGTAGGTAAAGGTTTTTTCTCCGATACTAAGCCTTCTGAAATGCTTTTTCTCTGTGAGGGGCCATTTTTGTTCTTTCTGGTGATTGTACTGTCCTCTAGACATCTTTGTATTGCTGACTGATCAGCAGTAATAAAGCATTTCTTTTTTAGCCGCAGATCTCAACTAGGGAAATTTTGACCAGCCGCAGATGGTGGGCCATTTCACAACTTGGCCTGGTAGTAGGCAGAAATGGCCTGCAGAAGGGCAGATGGCAGGCTGTGATCTGATGCCCGATACGTAACTGCGGGATTTAACTGAAAAACAAATGGGATGGATTTTGTTAGTAACAAAAAAGTAAAACTGCGCATGTCTTAATTCGGTATGTACTCATTCTTTAAAAGAACAGATAGATAATACAACCTTTTTGGTTTTGGTGAATTTGTCTTTTAGCATTTACTCACGCAGGTGGAGCACTATGCTTATGTTGATGTATAAATAGGGTTCAATTTTTTTTTGATTATTCATAATGAAAAAATATAGTTCATTGTTTTGGTTGGTTTGTTCTTTCCCTCCCCCGCCCCGCTTGTAGTTTTTGTATTTTTCTCTCTGCAGCAGTGGACAACACTTAGATATTTTGCAGCGACTTTAAGTAGCTGCAGAGTCCGGTAAATCTGATCCCCAATAACATGGGAAGAAAGATTTCTTTGATAGCATTAAACAAAATAGCTTAATTGCAAATAATTTGTACCTTTAAACTCCTTCTGTGAAGAAAAATTCAAATGATGTTTTGAATGCATGTACTGCAAGAAATAGCTTACTGATTTATTCTAATGGATTTACCTGTCTCTGAAAGTCAAAACTACAAAGGGAGGCAAAACGATTTAAGTAGCTCTTGAGCCGAAGCAGCTGGGGAGAGAGTACTCTTACACACTGTCCACTTCTAAGTTGTTGGAAGCCAGTAACTTGCAGTGGGAGAAGGAATTGCAGGACGTAGCTGATTTTATTGATTTAAATGGATTGAGAATAGGAGTTTATTTAAAACACTCATCTAATCAGAAATTAGTAAGATAAGCATGCTGTAATATCATAACTTTCAAAGTTACATGATGCTACTTCGAGAATATACTGGAAGATGAAGCTGGCTAATTTCTATGTACCAAGTTACCCTTAGTAGACCCTTTTGTTTATTGTAAACTGCATGTATTTTCTATCTGTCTTGCTGATACAGTAAATCTTCCATTAACAGCTGTTGGCTCTCTTCTTGAAGAAGTCATATTAAGTTATCTTTGTATTTTTCCATTTTGTCAAACTTTCATTCTCTGTTTTCAATGAAAGCACGTTAATTGTGGCACTTTGTAGTGCACTTGATTAAGAACACCAGGCTTTGCAAAAGATAAGCATGAAGTCAACCAAAATGCTGCATTATACATGTGCTCTTTTGCTTTTTATTTCTCTCTTAGAATATGTAAGCCCACCTAATGGTGTCATGTAAAAATCTAAGCGGAGACATAGAAACAATTCAATCCTTGAACGAAATATGAAGAAGGAATTAGCACATAAAATGAATAAAGGGGCCAAGTAGTTTGGTTTTTTGTTGCTTTAAAAAAGAAGATTAGGGGGGAAAAAGAGGAGGAAGGATAGTTCGAGTGCCAGTGATGGTTGCCAGTGGCACCAGGATTGGCATCAGACCTTCTTTGTTTAGCCTAGGATGCCTGTGATTTGTTGGTTGGCATCCGCATTGCAGTGCAGAGTAATGTTACAATATATTGACAATTTCCAGATCTAGAAGTGTCAATAATACTTTCAGTTCTTAATAAAAAGAGCTTCTACTTTCATGCCTGCCTTGAAAGAAGAAATAAGGACCGACCTATGAAGTTCTGTCATTGACCAACTTCATCTGCTTCCACTTTTCACTCATCTCCCTCAGAATTCAGCATCTTCTTTTTTTTTCCCCCTGTTCTATTTCTACTATCTTCTTGTGCTTTAGGATCTTAAAAAAAAAAGGGGGAGAGGGGCTTGACATAGGTTGCAATGCTGCTTCTTTGACTGAAATGGAGGAAGAAAATGGGAAGTACACACTGTGATCAGTGTTTAACGCCAAAATAATTCTTAATCATAAAACACTTCTATGGGGCTCTGTCTGTTGTGTGCATCAGGTCCCCCCTCTCTCCCCCCCGAGTTTTTAAAAAGCCCAATCCTTGAAAATGGCATGAACATTGCTTCTATTGACAAAACTGCTTTTTTTTTTCTTTTTTTTTTTTTTTTTTTTTTTTTTTTTTTTTTTTTCTGTCAGGCATCAGAGACTGTCTATCGTTTGGTATGAAACGCATCTCAGTCCATAAAATCATTTGATGGTATTTGATTCAGTGCAGCGCTTATGCTGTGTTCCCGTTGCTACAAGAACCGCCATTTTGTTTGTCGAGTGCCAGGAGAGGGGAAAAAAAAAAGGCAGACAATGTGCTTGATGCCAATAATGGTTGCCAGTGGCACCGAGGTTGGCATCAGACCCTCTTTGTCTAGTTGCTGAATGCCTTTGATTCGTTGGTTGGCATCCGCATTGCAGTGGGCACATTGGAAAGTTTTTGACAATCAGTGAATGAAAGCTGCAGTACTTGTTTGCTGCAACAGAACCCAGATAATATAAATCCCTTCTTCCGATAGATATTTTACTTACCCTTACAATGGCTAGTTAAAAAAAAAATTAAGAATTGCATTGCTGTTTTTTCTAAAATGTGATATATCTATAGCAATGTGCCTCATCTGCAGAATTCCTAATCCCTGTGTCATCTCTGCTGTTTGTTGCAGCATAAATAAAATCCAAACTTGATGTTAGATATTTCAGCACATACTGAATGAAACATAGTAGACCTTGAGAAATGCTTTGGAAGTTTAAAGGACTGAAGCAATGGTACATGTAAATGGTAAACATTTTAAGTGTTTTTCATGCATGTGCCTCTCAGAGCACATTTCTCAGATCAGTCATGTTACTGTTTACACTCTCCTTTGTCCTTGTGTAAGAGTGATATAATTGGGGGAGCCCGCATCCCCAGCTGCTAATAAACTCCGAAGTTGAGGGAGGGGAGGATCTTTTAAACTCTCCAGGAAGGAGGACAGAAAATAGATGCAGATGTACTCAGTCTGATACTGTTCAGGCACTCTTGTTTTTTTAACTTCTTAAACCATCAAGATGCTGCTACAGTTCCGGCTGCATGACTCTGTTACCAGGAAATCAGCAAAAAGACTAAATCATTTCTGCTGGAAGTTTCCTAGATAGTTAGCATTAATATTGCTTTCCGGTTAACTGCTATTATCTCGTTAATTAATAAGAAGGATTAGCAGCCCTACCCAAAGGGCTGCACAGAAGGAAGCCTGGCCTATGTGAGTCCCTGAACTGCCAGACTGTGCCCTGTTTCTTGGGGATGGGGGGGGGGGGGGAACAGGGGAAAAAAAAAAAAAAAAAAAAAAGAAAAAAAAAATAAAAAAAGGAAGGGAAAGGAGAACGAAGCGGGGAGGAAGGGCATGTGCTGGCTTCTGCAGCTGAGGTAGGGGAGCACTTTGTCTGCGGGACCTCCCGGCTGCCCTGCTGGGATATTTGAGGGTCCCGGGAGCCGGGGGCGACTGCCGCTTGCCTCCCACCAGCAGCCCCCCGGGGCGAGGGGCACGGGCCTACCCCACTTTTGATAGTGAGCTTTGTACTCTTAATAAGCACATCTTCAGATAATCGCAGCTGGGGCACAGAGTGCCACATCTACATTGATTCGAAACTGGTTTTACCCTTGCTTAACACCGTCAAACTGGTGATCCTTACCTGAATGGGGGTATCGCTTTTTCATGTAGGACAGCCCCGGTAACGTGTATGCACTACCTTACTTTGAAAAACACGTCCTCCTTCTAGGAGGAACTGTAATTATTTTTTAAACGTGATATATCTATATTGCAAGAGTGGGTGGGTGAACTCTCGGTGTATCAATGGCTTGATCTTTTTATCAAGATTTTTCAGTTTTGTGAATTTATTTTTATGGGGAGCTAAAACTTTGAAATAGGTTTGC